TAAATTTGACCTGATTGTCGTGATTTTAGCGTTAAAAACCCCTTAGATGCCGACTTTCGCGGAAATCGGTTTACAATGACTGACATTCCTCGTGCAACCTCTAACATTATTTTTCTCAAAAGCTATTTGGCCGATTTACATGGTTGATAATTCGTTATAAATAAATTGTCATGTGCATTTTATAACTGTATCAAGCATTAAAACCGGGCAATGGCTTCCATTTAAAAAAAGAGATTAATTTCTGACAAATAATTGTGCTATTTTGTCTTTTTCCTTACAGAAATATTTTATATATTTTAATGGTAAATGCGTCGTTAAAAAGCTACGTTACTCTTCTTTCAAATGGTTTGTTTGACGTTATAATCCTCTTACGCGTTTTTGAATTATAGCCGTTTAAATCAGGTATTCCGAGAACCACTTATAAAAAATCAGAAAAATTGTAAGAGTAAAAAAATTGATAAATTTAAATTCAAACAAAGTTTATATTTAGGGTGTCTCTTGAGGTGCTAAAACGAAATTTCAAATTGATACACGAAAAAATATGACCTAGTTTACTTGAAAAATAGTTGATTTTTAGAAATTATTTGGTTACTGATAAACTTTGATAACTTTTACTATATTTTTATTGCAATCTACATAACAACTGATGTAAAATTTAAATATTCAGATACTTAGTTTGAGTAAGTAGAAAGGCGAAGTAAAAATATTAAAAAAACGGAAAATTTCAACTTTGAAAAAAAATTTGTGAAACCAGGGCCTATTCACAAGAAGTCCGATATTTTGGAGTGTTAAAAAAAGTTTGGTCCAAATCCGTGGCCCATCAAAACGTGGTCGTCCCCTTTTAAGTGTACTTTGTTGAAGGGCGATGGTGAAAGTTCTGATGGACCGTTGTAAGATGAGAATTTAAGTTTCCCACTCATTTAACACATAATTTGCTTTACACGTTCACTAACTGCCTACATCAAATACGAGTGCTTTTGTTGAAACGTTGGACAAGTTAAATCGTCGTACGAAGATTTTTCATAGCGAATGTTACAATAAGATGCGACTACAGTATTTAATCATGATGAATTTTAAGTATAAAAATTAATTATTCTTTTTATGTAGTCTTGGTTGAGATGAAAAAGTTAGTGCCACGAGAGGACACTAACTGTTTCATCTCAACCAAGACCTTAAATAAAAAGAAAAAATAATTGAAATAAGTAATTTGGTAAATCAGACCACTAAACATAAATGGATTAATATTTAAGTATAATATTAAGTACTGAGGTAGGTTTTTAATAATTTAACATTTTTAATTGTTGCCATTTTCCTTTAAAATTCCTGACTAATTTCCTGAATTTTATAAATGCATTTGTATAGATAATAGCCAGGTGCTAAACGTCATGGAAGTTGACAAATTTTTATCGTTTTGTTAAAGATTACAAACTTTATTCTGCCGTTTCTCCCTATCTGGGGGTTTTAAGATACTTATTTTTCTATTTCTTGTGGTTCGTATAAAATTATGGCTGCACTTCCAAGAAATAATTTCCTTTTGAACTAAACAAGGCAATTTTTTGGACTTGTGCCTAGTCGGTCATTGTCAAAATGGGGCGATACTTTTACGTTTTGCCGCTTTACCACTCCGGATAATGATCGGATAGCAGCAGCGGCCGGCTAATCGAATGTGAAAGGCTGCCTGGTAGGCCTTGGTATCATATTGCCCGGTCAAGCTTCCCCGAGGTATTTCCACTCGGGATACTCTCTAATTTCTGATCCGAGACGGAAGAGATTGCCACGCAGAAAGGAACCCCAAGGAGGACCGCCCATTCCACAACTTCCGGAAACCGACTGGTGCCACTTCCGACCTCGGATCGTTCCGGAGGCCAAATCCGGACAACTGGACTATTAAGAAATTATAATACAACATTGTACTTCACTACATATCCGATTTTTAATTTTTCTCGCGAATTGCTCATTCTAAAATTACTATATTCGACGTATATTTCCTTTATTTTATTTTATATTACGGAATTATTTTATGCTTTATGCTCTCTCAAGGAAGAATCCTAACAAACCTTATACCATATGGTTTTAATTTTCTTTCATTTGGTTAGCTTTATAAATCTCGATTTTGAACAAATCTCACATATCATTGAGCTGAGTTTTTTAAAAAAATTATTCCCATTTTTGTTTCAATGATCTTGATAAGCTGTATGATGAATCTCTGAAAAAAATTATTTAAACAATATTAAAAAACACACTACACATAAATAAAATCCTAGGTTAAATATAAGAAATAGCCAAATAATAAGAGTAATTTAAAAAACAAAATTCTATTTAGAAAATCTTTGAAATCAGAATTCAAAAAACAACAAATGTTATAACAATGATAGAGTTTCCCATGAATTGCTCGTAAAGAAACTATCATTGTAAAATGTAAGTGAAGGCGTAAGACAGTTGATTTTGGCTTATTTTGAAAATAACATTGAGGATGCAAAATGTAATGGGCAATTTTCATCTAGGAGCAATAAACAATAGGGGGACCTCAGGGTTCTATCTTTAGTCCCTTTTCGCATTTAATTTTTACAAATGGCCTTGACAAGTACTTTCCAACAGTTCATTTCACTGAAGTTGCTGATGACAGTACGTCTCAATTAAAAGAGACATCTAAAACACAAAATAAAGTTTTATCTGGAAAACCGGCTACTAGGAAAATGGTCTGTGGTACACTACTAATCATAAACAAAAGAAATTGTGAAGAAATTCAGTGTATCAAATATTTAGAGGTGTATATTGATCTATACTCCATATCTCATTTGAAATGTGCATTGTAAATTCTTCGCATTTGAACTCAATACGACAACTTGTATTTGTTAAAACGTGTGAAATGTAATGTTTCTCCTAAAATACTGGTAAATATTTTTCTTGTTTGCAATCTTACATTAAACATGCATATTGTTCTCGGGATATTCCAATCATACACAGTTTGTTTTTAATAAACAGAGAAAATCAATTAGGACAGATTATAAGCCAAAGAATACTGTGAAAAAATTTATTATGCTTACAATTTTACATTTACCTTTGCTTATATATATATATATATATGGTCATTTCGTTCCAAACTTTGCACCCCTGTCTTCGAGTGAGAGAACCAGTTTCCCTGGAAGGTGCGATCTGCTGGAACGTCTCAATGTGACGAACGAGCTTGATATTCTCCCCTTGCAGCAGTAGCATTATCGTTGCAGTAACCGTAAATGAAATGCATAGCAGCAAGACGTGCATTAGAAAACAAGGGCATAATTTACAGCACTAACCTGAGGAACTTGTCAGCTGATAACATAAAGCAAACTGATTGAATTGATCATTAAAGAACTGACACGAAACTCAAGAGCCAGACGGATTTCCTGGAAAATATTGAACGTGCCTGCCTTCATCGACACCAGTATTTTTTCAACAAAATGCAAAATTTTGGGCCTTCCACAAGCGCAGTCCAAAAAGTTAGGTATACCGCAATAGGAAGGAAGCTTGATTGGAGAACTTTTGAGGGAATTTGCAAAGCTCCAGGAGTGGAGCTCACGATAGCTCAAGTGGTAGAGCAGCGGGTATTATCCGAGGGTCGTAGGTTCGAATCCCAATCGTGACGCTCACATTTTTAACTCGACCAATACCTTGCATAAAGATTAATTAATCGAAAAAAGTTATTCGGTCAATCGGACCACGAACTCTTATGAATTTAATAAGGAAAATGAAGTATATCTTCACGAAGGCTCTCCGAGGCCATTTCATTTCTCGCTGAGAATGTAATAGATTACATGACATTTGAAAAATGACAAAAGGAGGGAAAATTCGAAAGATTGGGCTGAGATGGGAAGTTGGTGTCCGAGTGGATCGAAGTGACGATAGCTCAAGTGGTACAGCAGAGGCGTATCTAGCCGAAGTTCGTGGGTTCGAATCACGCTCGTGACGCTGACTTTTTTATCTTAATCAATACCTTGCATTAATATAAATATATAATATTATAAGTTGGGATTGAGATATTTCTTTAAAAAAAAAAAGATTTATATTATTTAATGCATAAAGTAGTTGGCTTCATTAAGTTACAAAAATCAGGTTCACGTCTCGAGAGACGGATCGGAAGTGTTTTTGAACGGCGTCATGTGAGGATGAGCTTTCTATATTTTGCTAATCGTTGCAGAAGGTGCGGCCAGATGTGGTCGTAACTTATTTATTAGAATGTGTTATTTATTGTTATAAACAATTAGACACTTTTAAAACATTTAAAGTTCTGTACTGTCATTTCAGTACAAATTGTAATAAAATAGCTGTAAGGTGGAATCTCAAAAAGTGTAAAATATGTGTAAATATTTTTTATTTTCTATAAAATTTTATAATATGTTAACAGAAAATATTAAAAAATTTACTGGAATACTTTTTAAAAACAAAATCGAAAAGTACCTGATTGCAAATGCTTTTTATAACTTTAATAAGTTTCTATCGAGAGATATGTTATTGATCGGTGAATAAAATGCAAACCTAATCATGAAACTGTAGAACTAGCTGAAGAAATAGTACTATTTAAAATAAGATTAGCTGAAACGATTATTGGGAGATCGTAAAATCATTATTGAGATCATCTTCAGGGCTCAATGGGTTTGTGTGTACTCAACGTGTTGAGAATGCCTCCACGACACACAAGAATGACAATTACGCAGAAAACAAACACTATGAGGCCTGAAGACGATCTCAATAAAGATCGAATCGTTGGCACGATAAAGAAAATGTTTTTCTAAAACCTACGTCTCACCAGACCACACATCTCACGATTTTCGAATAATCATTGACTAACGGTCACTAAACACCGCACATTTGCTAAAACATTTCTACGACGATTCAAGAAAATATCTGATCACCACGTTCACGAATATTAGCGAAAAGAATATGCAATTGCAAACAAATGCAGGCTCAAATTATGAGTGCACATTTAACATCTACATTAAATTGTTCTGATTTTTTTTCAGTCGATCGCAACCCCAGTTTGCCGTCAATGGCAGAAGTCGTAATTAACAACAACATCAACGCGCACTCGGAAACTGTGCACACAGTCATTTCCGCCCCCGAGGACCAGCCGACTTCACAAAGCAAAAATTCAATAAAACTCTGGCTCCTCAAGGTAAACCGTTTTCAGACTTTGTTTTTAATATTAATTTTTGTACGATGGTACTAATTCAACTACGAGCTTATAAGAACCACTGCCGGTTCTTTGAAGAAAAGCTCATTTTTAAGTATGTCGGTTCGAATGCAGGACCGCTGGAATCGAACCCTGGACCATTTGACCTTACAATGATGTGCGCCTTACAACGCGTTAACCGTTGCGTCTACCGACGCCACCTATATTTCTTTAATCAATGGAAATTTTAATTTCTCAAGGATTACTAAATTGGCGCTTGTGTCTGGCTGACATGTTGTAAATTATAATATAGAAATATTCTCCTTTTCAAAGATAGTTTATCTTCTAGGAAAATCCTTCAATAAATTATCGATTACAACACTTTTTTGTCCTGAAAAACTAGAATTTTATTCCGTCGAAGTCAACAAAATAATAATCCACAACTTACGAAGTTTGTGTTTTGGGACGACCATAATACGAATTGTCCCTAAGACATTATAGATTGACTGGCGAACATCGTAAAAATTATTGTCCACAAACCTATTTCCGTTCACTTTATCACCACCTTATCATGATTCATTTAGCGAATCTCATAAAAATAGTTTAACACAGTACAACGTTGAAGATACTAAAACAAAACAGATCACATAAAATCATGTAATCAACTTTGTTTCTCCAAACCAAAAAGTACAATAATTAGAATTAAAAAATTGATATTTGTTTGATTAGGTTACAATACCGAAGAGAACTGGCTCGCTATTACATTACAATAAAGTAATCCATATTTGCTTAGTGGTCATAACTGACCATATTAATTATTCCAATTATTTATTATTTTTGTCTAAAATCCAAAAACAGGCTAATTATCTGCACAACCCAATTGTACTGTAATTGGTGAACATTCAATTGCTAGGTATCTACTATAACAAATTCTGGGTAGTATATCTGGGCTCGTAGCTAGTAACATACCCAACCATCCCAGGGCGTGTTTAAAGAAATATGATTTACAACAGTTTCAATAAAAAGGATTTCATTTATTGTTTATTATAATTTTGTATTCATTATAATAAATCTGACGTAATCTACAAGATCAACTGTTTAAACTGTCCGGCAACTTACATCGGTCTTACATCCTAATATCTGGACAAGAGAGTAAAGCAACATATCTATGATTGCAAAAAACCTAAGCAAAATCCTACAGCAATCGCTACCCACCATCTTGAACACCAACACAATTTCGACTTCAAAAATCCAAAAGTATTACACACAGAACAAAACAAACATAAGCGTAATTTCTTAGAAATGGTTTATATCAACAGAGATAAACACAGCATTAATTACAGAACAAAACAAACCTAAACGTAATTTCTTAGAAATGGTTTATATCAACAGAGATAAACACAGCATCAATTACAAAACAGATACATGTAAACTCAGTCGCAGCTACGCCAATATCGTTAATCAAATTCAATGCAGATAACATACCTATATCATCACATTACATTCCACACATCAAATATTTTTCACATAGTCTAATTTCCCAACAATTCAGCTTTCCTTTTCCTATTTATCCCTCCCTTTCTATATAATCCTGAAAGGATAATCTGGCCGAACCATTACCAACACATTTTTTCCCTTCGTCGGCTCTTTACACCTCAAAGAAGCCGACGCCTTATACAAAAATGCCTTTTCTATACCGACATCCTTCCCCACCCCTCAAAATCCAAGGTGTATAAACACAAAATAGCAAAATCTCACTGACACTCTCAACACGACACTCAAGTATGACACAATTACACAGAAGACAAACACTTTGAGTGAGTAGAAATACTTTGATTGAATATAAACAATATATTTTGCATTGTATAAATTCACTTTTCCACATCCAAAATGTAATTGTTGTATGCAAACAATGTTCGTAAATCCCAGGCCCTGAAGATGATCTCAATAAAGATCGAAACGTTGGCACGATAAAGAAAATGTTTTTCTGAAACCTACATCACACCAGACCGCATCTCACGATTTCTGAATAATTATCGATTAACGGTCACTAATCACCACACATTTCTACACGAGAAGAACGAAGAACATGGGATTCTATGAACAAATTTCAACTACATATGGACACGCAGCTAAAAGTATACTGAAGGACATCGCCAACAATGAGAAGAAACTCGCATCGGCTATCAATCAGAGAACTTTTTTGCTGAAATGCAGACAACACAAGGTATTTCCTACTCACATCAAAAACAATTTTAACTTTACAAATGCCACACTAACACAGCCAAACACCAGAATTAACGATATACATAAAGCCACAATAAATTTCAAACGAAACATTTTAAACATAGAAATCACCACAAGCATCAAAAACATTAAGACACTAACACAAAAATTACACCAATTAAAACTCAGTGCCGCCAACAGAATACCTACAGACATTTTAAAAGAATTTTACACACATCAAAAAGATGCATACAACGTCCCCTTCGACAAAATCAAAAACAAACACATCAAAAAATTAAATAACTTAATCAACAAACAAACATCTTTTAACACAAATAAATGGTTCCTAAACCTAACCAAAGCTATCATTCCTCCAGAAATCCAGAACTTCCTATCACTTGGTCCCAAACACTCCATTCCTTACAACAAAACAGATTTTCCAATAGCTAAATTAATTACGGATGTAGACTATGCAATCCAAAAATCCACAAAAACAAAGGAAGAAGGAAGGAACATAACACGATCGAAATGCATTAACACAATAACAAATCACTTACAACACCTCACTACAAATCAACACAACTGATCTCAACAAACATATACCAAAACCAAACATTTTCTCAAAAATAATCCTGACATACTCATTCTTTCTGCTGATAAGACCAAACAAACAGTAGCAATCAGTAAAAAAGAGTACAGGGAAAAGGCCGTATTTATCATTGTATGAAAAGGATGGTGAGATTTAAAGTTGTGATAGCGATCTGTGTTTCTTTGTTTTGGATACCAATCTGTGATTAATGTCCCATCTGGTTGTTTTATTACGAGTGTATCTAAAAATGGTATTGTTTTGTTGTTTTCGACTTCATGTGTAATTTGTAGGCGTGGATGAAAGATATTAAATATATCTAATGTAGTTTGATGAATTTGATCTGTGGGAACTGCTGTCAATATATCATCTTCGTGTTTGGTGAAGAAGGTTAATGTGAAAGGAAGTTGTGGTATAACTGTTTATAGGTGTGTCATAATTATGTCTGCAAGTATCGGGCCTAGGTTGCTACCCATGGCGATGCCAAATAGTTGTTTGTAAAATTGATTGTTGTAGGTATTTATTATATTCCAATTATTTATTCTTTTTATCTGAGATGGATGAGACGAAAAATTAGTGTCACGGGAGGATACGAACCCACAACCTTCGGCTCAATACGCCCTGCTCTAACCACTTGAGCTATCGTGACTTCGATCCAGCTCGTGACACTAACTTTTTCATCTCAACCAAGACCTTAAAATTTTAAAAGAAAATTTAAAAAACATTACATACAGAAAACTCAATCGCTTCCCCACCCTTCTAATTAAATATTGATGAATGACAAAAAGAGAAAATCTGTATGTTAAGAAAAATTCAATCAGGGTCTTAAAATTACATTTTTTATTCATTTTTACATCTATAAAACAATTAAACCCGTAAAAATATTACAAGAATAAAATAGATATGAAAAACATGTGATGGGAAATCACCCAGTGGTGTGCCTCCTTTAGAAAAAATAAATATGACCACTTTTCAATTTTCTTCGTCACTTAGGGCGTGACACTAATTTTACATCTCAACCAAAAACCTTAGATAAAAAGAATAATTAATTGGATTACAATAAAATTTCATCAGTTCACAAAAGCGAAGGTTAAGCTTGAATTAAAAGGTAATAATAGTAAAAAAATTAAAAATGGAAGTTTAATTGGAATAAATTAAAATCTATGAACACAAAAGCATGGATACAAAATTATAATAAATGGTAATGGTAAATGAAATCCTTTCTATTGAAATTGCTGTTAATCAAATTTCTTCGGTTTTCTTTAAATAAGTCTTGGTTTATCCCAGATACACTACCCAGAATTGAGTCCTCACCATTAAACTATGCCCGTACAATTGAGTTATGTAGATGTAGATATAGATGTATAGTATACTGCTCTCTTTAAGAGCTATTGTATCCCCCCATGCCTAAAGCACATCGGTGAGTCCTATCAAGAAACTTGATTAACGGGCACGGTTTCAGTGGTTGAAGCTCTTCTATGGTCATATTATACATCCCAAAACATTTCGTCCTGTGTAGTGTAAGCTGCGAAGTTTGTTAGTAGAGAGCTGGTTTCTCTTCTGTCTCTTTGCAGAACTGCATGTGCCATTTTGGATTATTCCAATCTTCTTTAAGTGTCCATTTAACTTGCAGTGACCGGTTAGGAATCCTATTAGTATTCGCAGTTATATTTCTTTCCTTCCAAAATTGGTTAGAAGATTATTGGATTGTCTGTGTCCAATGAGTGAATTCCATAGTCCCTTCATTTTCTTTTTGTCCTTCTGTCTGAGATACTCGTTAATAGTGTGGGTTCTATGCCACAGAATGGTTCAGGTCCTGTCAGCGGTGTGGCAGCTCCTTGCCTTGCAAGGGTGTCCGCTTTCTCATTGCCTTCTACTCCCATGTGTTCTGGGACCCAGCAGAGGCTGACTTTGTTCTGCGTACCTAATATGTTTATTTGGTTTTGCAGTTCAGCACCATCCTTGAACTAATGATATTTGAGCTTAGTGCTTTGATGGCTGCTTGGCTATCTGACATGATAGATATACTCTTGTTTTAATACCCTTTACTTATGTTGAGTTGGGTACATCTTTCAATTGCATGAATTTCAGCTTGGAAGATACTGGTGTGCTTTCCCATGGGTTCTGAGTATTTGGTTCCAGGTCCAAACACCCCTCCCCCTGTACCTTCTTATGTTCTAGATCCATCTGTGTACCAAAGGATGGTGCCATTCTTGAAAGAGGTGTTTCCTTCTCGTTCCCATTCTTTTTTGGTACCTAGGTTTATTATGATTAAATTCAAACATCCTGTTCATGTCGTCTCTCGGAGCCATGAGTATCGGATGGTCTTTCCATAGTTTGTTGCTATCTCTCCATATTAGTTTTATTCCTGTTGGAGGTTTCTCTTTGGTAAAATTAATGATGGTTTTCTGCACTGTCCTTATAACCATGTGGTGTAGGGAGATTAATCCCAGTACTTTTTCCATGCTAATTGTAGGACATTGCTCCCATTATGCAGATGCATGCAAGTCTCTGTATTTTTGAGAGTTCTTTCCTTTTAGTTACTTGTTCTGCTTTGTCAGCCCAGGCTATAGCTCCGTATGTAAGTATAGGTCTTTCTATCATGGTGAACATCCATAGCAGGGTTTCCGGTCTGTATCCCCAGTTCCTTCCTGCTTTTCTTCCGCACACCGTCAAAGCTCGCGTCGCGTTCGTGATGGCAGAGCCAATGTGTTTCTTAAATGTTAGTGTTTTATCTAGTGTGATGTCCAGATATTTGACTTCTTTTTTCATTTCTATCACGGTGTTATTGAGTGTTATTTGCCTAATGTGATCTAGTTTCCTTTTCCGAGTAAAAGCGGCTATAGTTGTTTTATTAGGGTTGATTCCTAAGTCAGCGGTTTTACACCATTCTTCTGTGATTGTTAGACCCTCTTGTATTATATCACAGAGAATTTCCTCATATTTTCCCCTGGCAGTCAGAACTATGTCGTCCGCATATCCCTGACATTTTATCCCTGTACGATCCAGGGTCTCGAGCAGTTCATCAACTGTTAGGCTCCATAGAAGTGGTGACAGTACCCCTCCTTGACGACATCCCTTGGTTGTGCTAACTTCTACGGTGTCTGTTCCTATATTTGTTTCAGCTATTTTAATTCTTAGCATTTCTCCAATCCATCTGGGTGTTATGTAGATAGTGAGCCTGTTTTCAGAAAGTTTACCTTGACTTGTGGTATTGTAGTTCATCTCACAGACATATACGAAAGCTCCTTTAAAGATCGTACAAAATTAAGAGAATCTAATAATAGCAGTTATTATTCGCTACTGTTTCAGAATGCTCGTGGTGCTAGTCTATTGAACATGGATCCTTTTGATGTAACTAGTCATTTCCCACGTCCATTCTCGCAATAAATATTTCTTAAAGTATTTTATTTCCAAGCAGATAAATCATATTGATCCCAATTCGTTGTGCTCCCTATGCCGTTTACCCGAAAAGGATGACCTTTCACATATCTTAATTTAATTGCCTATTTTACGAACCTTTCCGCCTTGCTTACTTGATTTTTGTTGAAGGGAGTAGGTAAACTCAGGAAGCCTCGTTATGTTTTATACCAGTAACAATTAAAAAGTCATGGGCTCTTCCGAGATGCAAACCCAGATCCGCTAGCATGTCAAATACGGGAAATACCACCACTCGGCGGCCGGTGCACCCTAAAATTTTGCTATGCCGTTACAATAAAAGGAATTTTACAATAAAAATAAATAAAATAGAATATGAAAAACGACAATTTATTTTTCAAAAAATTGTCCACAGTCCAAATATATTTTTTCAACGATAATTTCGAAATCGTTTTTATATCTAAAACAGAAGTATATAAAATTAAATATATTATTATTTAAATATTCTCTTCCAAAATTTGTTGAAAAATCTTAAAAATATATGTTCTCCATCCCATATTTTTAATAAACATTATAAAAATAATGGTACATTGTTTTAATTTTGAAAACTCGATAAACTTTGTTTTTATTTTCTAAGGATCGTGAAGATGCGATTGTTAGATTGTGACAAAAGTGTGCGTTTTACTAGAACAAATAAAAGCCAGCCGGAATGGAGCTTTCACAAAAGCTTTATAACTCATTTAAACATTCGGATGACATAAACTCGTCCGACCGAACCGAACAGCGAAGATGGTAGACCAAAATTACAGGAAAAGATCAAACTCCAGTTTCATCGTCCACATTGCTTACAAATAAATTAATCCTTTTATGTAATGTTTTGGGTTATATGAATAAGTTAGTGTCACGAGCGGGATTAGAACCCACGACCTTTGGCTGTATACGCCGCTGCTCTACCACTTGTGTTACGATAGGCCAAGTGGTAAAGCAGCGGCGAATACGGCCGAAGGTCGTAGGTTCGAATCCCGCTCATGGCCATGAGGAAGAAACCTCTTTTTCATCATTGTTTGTGTTTGGGGTTTTAAATATTTCTTTTCCGTCGGTGTTACTAAAGACTGTTTCAAAGTTAGACTAATGTTAAATATATTGAAAAAGTACGTATCTATGTCGTAGGTGAGGGTGGACGATGGAGAGTCGAAGACGGGAATCCGACGATTAGTTGACGAGAACCACGCGCCTAAATTCACCAGGCATGCCATCAGATCCAACTACATGGACAAAAGTATAGAAGCGAAGAAAAAGGTAAATAGAGATAATTTCAAAACTATTGCAATAAGTACTGACGCTCATTGGTACGCCACAGGTCATACGAATGCTGTTCGTCGTCGTAGCGGAGTTTTTCATATGCTGGGCGCCGCTCCACATGCTGAACACTCTGTATTTATTCAGCCCGGAGATGGTCTACCGCTACGTTGGAAGCACGGGGGTGTCTCTCGTCCAGTTGCTAGCGTACATCAGCTCCTGCTCGAACCCAATCACCTACTGCTTTATGAATTATAAATTTCGACAGGCTTTTATTTCCTTGTTTAAATACCAGAGGTATGTAATATAGTGTAAACGATTTCCGTTTTAAGACGTAAAACGCCTCATTACAGCAGCTGTACCAGGCGAGGATCAATCGAACCGAGGTTGGACACGGTGGTCGGCCCGAACAACTCCGACCTCAGCGGAAACGAATCCACCCTCTACGCAGGACGAGCTTCTCGCTCCGGTATGAAAAACACGATTGTACGTTTGACGTATTTAGAAACGAGTTGATCTCGCTTTTTCAGAAGTCCTCGTTCTGGAAAAGGAGGAGCGTGTTTAGCTGAGACCCATGGGACGAAGCGTACCTCTACCGAGTGGTGTGGCGCGATCACAGATCGCAAGAAGTGCAATACGCCTGAGCAACCTAGCAGACCGTTGCAGAAGAAAGAAAAACCACGTCACCGTGAGTTACAAGGTCGGCCGTTCGTGGCACACGATCACCATGAGCCCTCTCGGTTAACTACCCGACCCACGTTTCGCCCCATGGTTGAGATACTTTACCAAGTGCCTGATGTTTCAAATTTCCTATTCAGATCAACGTGATAATTCAGTCCATCAATTTACAGATGGTTTAGTTTTTCTGCATGGTTTAATTTTTCAAATATAAAAAAAACGCAAAGAAAAATAGTTCTATTTATATAACTGTACAGAAATGGTGCAACATCTTTTGGCTGGAATAGCCAAACTAAATTGTTCAAACTTTTAAGTTTGTCAATAATTATATTAAGTTCATACGAGAACTAGTAAACTGAAAATATTACAGGGTATTAGCTAATAGATTGTAAATAAAAATAAAAATTAACCTTTGTATTTTAATTGATATAAAACAAATTTACTTCGTCAAAGTTGTCAAATGTTTATTAATTCTCGATTGATTCACTCAAGTTTCAAGACTCTGTTGAGAAACTGCGAGACGAAACGAACCAACCAGTGCCAACGTTACGAATTGCTCGACATTGTGTTGTGAAGAATAAATTCGGAAGCAATAATAATATAATCATATTGTTATTTCAAAGTGTATCATTTCTGTTTTCTAGTATGTAGTAAGTAAAATTTAATAATGCAAACAATTTGCGTCTCGCGTTTGAAATGTGGAAAATGTTAATCAAAATTTATTCTTTTCTAACTTGTCATTGTAATGCCATTTCTGTAAAATTACTTTTGACCAAAACATTTCTCAATTTATTTTAATGAATAAACTGTATTTATACATGTCGTTTTACTGAAAAATTGTTAGATATTTTTCCTAAAACTATGTTCCGGTTTTGAGTTTTAATTTTGACATCCGAAAATTTGAAAATTGCATAATTTTAAGAATATTGCTACTGTATATTTATGTATGTCTCCACCAACAGTAAAATATTTTGCTAAAATATTATTTTCTCAATATTTTGTATTCCGATATATCGTTAGAAAATGCTGGTCCTATTTCAGTCCTCTCTGTTTAACGTGTTTTTTTCTTCTTCTACGTCGAGAAAAAGTATCCGTATTTTAGCATTAAAATCCTGATTAAATGTATGAATGGAGTGGGGTTTCCTTATAAGGATGGCCCGAGCTCCTCACGTACACCACAAGGATCTATTACAAATAATAGAGGTAGGGTGAGTATGTCCTTTCACTTTTTGAAAATGATGGTTCTACTCGCAGAGTTGTTGTTAGCAAGGAAATGCTAATTAAGCTAACAACAAATCTGTGAAGAGAACCATCCTTTACAAAAAGGTCTATCGTGGACCAATGGCAGGTGTTTCCACGATTTTTTTATACACGCGATGCCACTACCTCAAGATGAACCACATTAATCTTTATATAAGGTATTGGTTGAAATGAAAAAGCTAGTGTCCCGGGATTCGGACCTTCGGCTAAATGCGATGCGAGTGGATGTCCGAGTGGATCGAAGTAACGATAGCTCAAGTGGTAGAGCAGCGGTGTATTTAGCCGAAGGTCGTGTGTCCGAATCTCACTCGTGACACTATCTTTTTCATTTCAACCAATACTTTACATAAAGATTAATTAATTGAAAGAAGTTATTTGGTCAATCAGACCACGAAATATAATGGATTTAATAAGCCATATTGTTTATTCTTTGAAAAATTGCCAACAAAGCTAATAAAAATAATCTCAGGGTCCGGCACCCGGCTTATGAATTCTTTATCATACCTCGGAAAATGGTCAGACTTCAATGCGCTCAGGAACATGTGAATTGGACATTGCAAGATTGGGGACGACTTCTCTTTACAGATGAGAGTTGGCCTGAAATCTTCAAATTGGCGTAATTTCATATGGAAACGCTCAGGAGAAAGGTACGCTCCATTCTGAATGGTTGCTCAGGTGGGCCACTGATGATCTGGGGTGGCATTTCCTTGGATTCCCGCACCGATTTGGTTGTTGCGCAAGGAAGACTTCACAGAGGTACTTGCAAGACATAATCGAAAAAAATATAGTGCCATTTGCCCTCACATCGGTGAGAGGTTGTTAGTGCAGGACAATGCCAAGCCCCTTAGAGCAAATATTGTATATGATAACCTGAATGACATTGTAATTGAGTGCTTACTGTGGCCAGCTCAAAGTCCAGATTTGAACACAATCCTAAACATTGGGACCAATTTAAGCGACGAGTACGACGGCTTGTAATGTTGGAAATGACTGTTCTTGATGAATGCGAAATAATTCCTCAGGATTTTTTCAGAAATCTTTTCTATACAAAGCAAAGTCGTTTAACGGACGTCATTCGTGCCGGAGGTGAAAATACTCGGTATTAAAGTGGACAACAAAGTTTTTTACATTTTTATTTGTAGAAATGATGTTTGTAGATCGACCTGCAGATAATCAATGTAGAGTTCAATATCTTCTTTAAGGTCTTTACTAGGTGAAAGAAAGATAAAAGTGTTGGGATCACCAAGCTTTCGGCAACATTATGTTGCCATCATCAGGGCCTATTTATTAAGAAAAAATATACATAATTAATATAAATGTAACAATCAACAATCAAACCAACAATGCATACTTTCCCAAGAGAGAAGAGAAAAAATTCTCATCGGAAAAACTAATGAAAAAGTGCTTTTGTTTAGGTTATGAAGCACATTCAGCTGTACATGGTGAACAAGACATCTATGTAAAGGAGTGAGTAATTATTCGCATATAACATTAACAATTGACAAAAATAATAATTTATATATAATTACTCACTCCTTTACATAGATGTCTTGTTCACCATGTACAATTGAATGTGCTTCATAACCTAAACCAAAGCACCTTTACAATAGTTTTTCTGGTGAGAATTTTTTTTCTCTTCTCTCTTGGGAAAGTATGCATTGTTTTAATTGTTGATTGGTGAATTTATATTAATTATGTATATTTTTTGATCTTAATAAATAGGCCCTGATGATGGCAACATAATGTTGCCGAAAGCTTGGTGATCCCAACACTTTTGTCTTTCTTTCACCTAGTAAAGACCTTAAAGAAGATATTGAAATCTACATGTTTATTTGTTTTCAATTTTCTTTACTCAATGATTGCTTTTTTTAGAATTAGGTAATAAACATTTTACTAAAGTCAGTGTCACAAGCGGGATTCGAATCCAGACCTTCGGCTAAATAGTGGATTGAAGTCACGATAGTTCAAATGGTAGAGCAGCGGCGGATTTAACGCTGTGGGTTCGACTCCCGCTTGTGACACTGACTTTTTTATCTCAACCAAAACCTTAATTAAATATTGTGTAAAAAAGTTTAATGATTCTTTTTGATATATCTTTGATATGTACGTTTCGTCCTTAATGAAACAACATGAACTTTTCCTGGTTTTGCCATGATGTTCAATTGAAAACAGGTGATAAGCAGTTGTCGCTCTAATCCTCTTGGGTTTCGTTCATTTCCTGTGGGATGTTTCTTCCAATGAATGTGTGGTTTAACGGCCGCTCTCTGCCCTAATTGGTTTTTATCCTTCCTTGGACAGGTCAAGTTTTTCATTGTTGAGGCACGTAAAGTTGGAAACAGGGGCGAAAACCACTTTCAACCAATGTATTTTCACAAAGGTTATCATCCGAAAGTTGAGGTATTGTGCTTTCAATGCCGTCATTTTGTTTCCTCACGTCAGGTGCACACTGCGATTCCAATTACGTACAGGTACATTAAGATGGAAGAAAAAAACCATAAGCGACCCCCTCAAATTAATGATATATAAATATATTAATTTACAAAAAACAGCAGTCAAACTTATGTTTGCTAATTTAAAAACAGTTGATGTAAATAATACGTCTAAAAGGAAAGATATAATTCTACAAGTGCAGAAGAGGAAAACGAGCTCTCTTCTTCAGATTGGACAAATCATCGGCCTACTTTCCTGAAGTGGTAACGATGGCGTTTGGACAACAACTAAGAATACGTCTATATAACGAAAGGCAGAAAATATTTCCACAAAAAATTCAGTAAAAAAAAGTAACGGGAAATGTCTACCTTTACCTTATATCAGTGAAATCATTCAACGAAAAGTTTATCTTGTTAATAAAATACTTTACGCCATTGTATATTTCAGTACGTTTAAAACATTTTCTTAGGTAGAGAAATATAATACAATGAATATAAACTAAGAATAAGAAGAAAGAATTCAAGGCGATAGAAATAAATAATACACTTAGGTAAAATACATAATTTGTGACCGAACGATATAACAAAAAATGGTAAAAACATTTGTGTAGCAAATAAAAAGTCAATATTCATTTTTGCACGAATATTGTATAATGAATGTAAATTTCCGGAAAAACTAAAAATATTTGTTTACTCTCAATTTTTCCAAAGCCTCCGATTATTCTCGAATATCACGAAAATGATTATAACTGCAAAAACCTGAAAACGTTATATATACAATGACACAAAATTAGACGCCGAAAATAAATTAGAACCGGAGATATATAATATAATTTTTATTTGCTGTTCAATTTCAGAAAAGACATTTTACAAATTGTAGTATACAATTGTAAAAAGAATCATAAATGCAGCCTTCAGTTAGGGACCTTGTGGTGAAGACAGGAGTTTTCAAGATTGTATAACAACGTGTATTTATCTTTATTTTTCCGGGTCAAGGCGGTTTTAAGGAAAATAATTTACTAAATTATTACAATTAATTAAGGTTTTTAGTTGAGATGAAAAAAGTTAATGGCACGAGCGGGATTCGAACCTATCTCAACCCCACCGTATGAGTTTTCCCTCCTTTTTTTCATCTCAACTAAAAACCTTAATTAATTGTAATGTATTAATTGGTCACACGGACCACGAAATTAGTGAATTTACTAAATTATATTTCTGAATAATTCTATTAAAGAGCAAAAAGTTAAGCAGATGTAGTGAACAATATAATCTTTATTATAAATGAGTTCGCCCTTCACATAGATGCGGTCGGGAGTGATGTAGGTTTCAGAAAAACATTTTCTTTATCTCACGATATCTGAATAACTATCGATTAACGGTCACTAATCTCTACACACTTCACATAGATATTTATGTATTGAAATTAAA